GACAAATCGGACTCGAATGCCGTCGTCATCGTCCCCCTCGTCGGCTATCGGGGGGGGGGCCACCTCCGCTGGATGCTGAAACAGTCCAGAAACAATATCAAACGGTGCTTGCCCCCCGTTCCGCTCGACGTCGTCACGGATGCTGTCCAGGAAAGGCTGAGGCACGATGGCAGTACGTTGTTCGGCGACCGCTGGACATACCCAAAGCCTGTGGTACAGCGTGTCCCCTGGGGCATTGCACAGCGAGCAGACGTCGTCGACGTCGTAGCCCGCCTCGCGGGCCCTAGAGAGGGGCCAGAGACCTTGGCAGGCGAGGCACCGAGTCACCCCCTTCTGCCTGGCCGAAAACTTCCTAGATCGGGTGGCAGCAACGACGACGTCAACACACAACCGATGCACTCCGTCGCTTCCGTACTTCGAAGCCGCCTCCCGCTCGAGACTTCTCCACCTCTTCCCTGACAAGGATTTTGAGGAGCGCAGGAGGGGTGAGGGTGAGGGAGTGGTGGGCCCCCAGGTCACTAATCAATAAGATGGGCGAGGGCATAGACCAGTTAATCCTTTGAAGGGGCAGCCTGAGGGCTCCAATGGGCCCCGACGCCGAACGCCACGTCCAGGGAATCGGAGAGCTCGCATTCCAAAGGTCCCGAAGCTCGTTCCAGGAAAAGCAAAAATCGGAAGCCCGAGCGCGCCTGGCCCAAACCTCTCTAGACCATCGGGTGGTGGGAGAAACCGCCCCGAACCACGCGGGGCCCCCTTCGATCCTGGACAAAATCGATAAACTGCGGCCGCCGACGGCCGGCTTCATCGTGGCAGCGCAGAGCCGACGAATCTTCAAAAGTTCGCCATCGCTGCAGCCGTGCACTTCGCTGCCATAGGTGATACCCGGCAGAGGCCCCGCAACGCAGAGTTTGATTGCCCTGCGTCCTAGAACGGCTCGCTGGCGGACAAGCCGCCCGACTTGGCGCTCCGCCTTCGCCAGCCTGGCCTTTGCGCGAGCGTTGCGCCCCCGAACACGGCGAGCGCCTCCTACTGTGTCGTCAATACCAAGGTTGATGGCGGCATGCGAATGAGCTCCCCCGAACTGCCCCAACCGTCTCTGGATGTGTCTGGAGATTTCCCTGGAAGACGAAATGAGCCCGACCTTTTCAAGGGGAACATTCGCATGCAAACAATCCGAAATAACGGTATGCAGCTGACTAGCCGCGTCGGAGAGGTCACGGCTAATCGCTTCAATCGAACCCGTCGCATTGAGCCCCATATCGTCGATGTAAGCGTCGAAGGTCACACTCCTCGGGGTGACCAGCCTGTCGAAAGCATTTAACGCAACAACTCGGATCAGAGTCGTGGCGAAACTACACCCCGCGATGATGCCCACGCGGGCATGCATGGGGCAGGCCACGACCCCTCCCAAAACAACAAACCTCGCGGACCTGTACCCCGCCAAGCAAACCGAGGAAATGGGGTCGGGAAAGTTGTGCTGTCTACACCTTCAAGCCAATGCTTCCAGGGGGATCCGCTCGTAATATTTAATGGAGCCCCACAGTAACGCGCACGCATGCTGAGACTGACTGCGAGACCTCTCCGATCTAGCCGCCTGCCTCCAGACGACGTCGCCCGCCGACTTGTACTGGCCTGCCGCCCAAAAAACACGCTGGTTGGCCGCCTCCCACTGCAGCGCAAGGTGATGACGGCGCTTGCCCCAGAGACGGTACAGGCTGGGAAACACTCCTATCGGACGGAATTCCGAATATGGTTTTGGCAGCATCGCAACGACGACGGCCCGCAGCTGCGAGGGAAGGGACCCCGCCATTTCCATCAACGTGAGCAACCGAGAGAGGGCCAACAAGGCCCCGTCCGACAGGAGCGCGAAGTGGCGCATGCGAAAGCCATCCAGGCCCACCGCGGACCTATGGGCAAAGCTTTTGGAGAACTTACGGATTTCTTCGATGGGGATAGGAGGGAGGGGATCGTTGGCCTTCCCAACCTGCTTGACTGGCACGTCTAAAGCTTCCCACAGGCCGCGGAACCTCTGGGCCTCGTCAGCCAGCAGGGACACCGCACAGCCGTTGGCGCAGAGGGTCGTGCTGGCCTTCCAGGCCTGCGGGTCCTTGGTGAACGCGTGAGCCCTCCTTCCTCCTTGGTCCACCGACTCCGTAAGCCAGTCCGCCCAGTCCTTACGAGCCTGCAAATAATAAAAAAGTTGAGCACTGCTCAGCGTGCTCGCAAACCGCGCCCCCTCGAGTTCTCAGCACGGACCTGTAGCGTGTCCTCCGAGAGGCTACGTTCGAGGCATTCCGAGGCCAGCTGGGAGACCTTATCCATAATCTCAGTGATTCCAGGGAAGTCAGGGATCTCGGGGCCCGAAACTTCCGATCCAGAGAGCTCGGCTCCAGGAAGGGGCTTGCGCAAACTCGGGGGAGGGGGGGGGGGGGGGGGGCGCAAGAACACGCGCCGCTTCGCGAGCCTGAGGCCAATCCGCACGCCGCACAGCTCCTTGGAAACGCTTGAAGTGACTGGCAAGCCAACGGCTCGCATGGAGCTTGGGATACCTGACACAACCTTTGTCTTTCCCGAGGATGGGCCTCCAGTGGGTGATGGGCGCCTTACCCCTCGACCCCCAGACAGGCAATTCCACCCCTGAGGTCCTGGCCAGCTCCCGCTCCGCCAAGCCTGCCCAGGAGGCGTACGCCTCGCTAAACAACTTGGAAGTCATGGCAACGCCGTCTCCACGCCGTGCCCTGATGAATACTGCATCTAGCAGTGTCTGCACACGATCGAACTGCTGCGGTGCGGGTTGAGGTCCGAACGGTGGTGCCGAGGGTAACGAAGGCGGCTTCCTGAAGGTGAGGTAGTGCATCTTCGCCATCCCCGCATGGAAGCAAATGCGAACTGGAAGGTGAGGAATGAAACCAGCATCTTCGACTGGTTCTATACTCTGGACCGCCTTCGACACTCCCGACGAGAGAACAAAGTAGTCATATTCTCTGCCTTCGCCAGTGTGACAAGTAGGCTTGCCCGTGCAGATGGCCTGGCCAATGAGCGACGAGACGAAGCTAGACCTTGCTAGAGTCGACGGTTCCATGTTCCAGTCCCCTTCCGGCAGTGAACGGTTTGCCACGCGTGGACCCCGACGCCCCGACAGCCGACAGAGTTTCCAAGTTCGCTTCGGACAGTCCTTCCGAGTCCCTGAGGTACACAGAGCAAAACAAAACCGTGCTGCCATGGGGGGCGTGTACTTCGGCCGCCGAGGCCCGATGCGGGTCCACGACGGACCCCGAAGACGGCGGGTGCAGCCCCAAGGTCTGCCTGCGCAAAATAGCGACTCCCGCTGACGGGCCTCCTCCTGGGCCAGTAGTCGCGGGAGCCCAAAGGCTTTTGAAACCAAGACCCAGGCAAGTGGAAGACTCTCGGTCCAGGGACTCCTGCGAAATCAATTTATGCTCCTGGACCAAGATCACCTCAGCTCTAGCACTAGGCAGCCAATCTTTGATCGACCCCCACGAGTTGCCGTTCACGGAGACGACGCTCAAACGAAACGACTCAGCCTCGGGGGGGGGGGGGGGGGGGGGGGGGGGGGAACAAGGGCCCTTCAGGCGACTGAAGCTGCCAGCGCGTCCTGAGGCTGGTATTTTCGAAACTGCATCGAGCGCAACGCGTGGAGGAGAAACGAACTGCGAGCGACCCCTGGACTCCGAAGGGTCGCCTCCAGACAAAAAGTTCGAGCGTGCCAGATCCTCAGGAATCAGGCGAGCATGATGCTGCATGTCCCCCCCTTCAGCAGAACTGCCGCCAGGGGGGGCTTCTTGTCGAGGAGGTCCACCTCCCCGCTCCGCCCGTGCCTGGACACGTTGGGCAATGGCATCGACCTCGTCCCTGACTCGGCCCGCGGCGGCGGCGGCGTCGGGCGATCCGCCAGGCTGCTCCGCCGAAGCTGCCGCGGCCGCAGCGCCTCCAGCAGGTGGCCCGTCAGCCCCTTGGCCGGAGCCGAGCCTCCAGGAAGATCTCCTCCAGGGCCTCGCCGCCGTTTGCCCGCGATGCGCTTGAGGTAAAGCTCGTGCTCCTTCTTGACCGCCTCCGGCTTCGCGACCGCGTCCTGGAAGAGCTGCTTGGCGGCGGCGGCGATGTGCTCCTTGAACTTGGTGCGGCGCTTCTCAACCTCGTCGATGTCGGCCTGTTCCAGCTCGAGTTCGCCTGGGAAGTCGCTGAAGAGGCCGCCGTCGTCGATGGTGATGTCCGCAACCTTGCCAGCCACGAGGTCTCGCAACGACAGCGCGGGCCCAGGCGCAGGCTCCGAGTCAGCGTCGATGACAATGGGGGCAACCTCCTTGTGGAGCTTCGCCACCAATGTGCGGTGCTGCTCGATGAGCGCCTTGGGCTTCTGCGACAGGTCATGCAAGTACGTCTCCTGCTTGCGAGCGCCCTCCACCCACCGATTGTACTTGGCCAGCTCCGCTTCCATCTTGCTGTCCAGCTTCGTGATCTCACGATGAAGCTCCGAAGCTTGATCCTGAAGAGGCTTGGGCGCAGGTCGCGCCTTCTCGGTGAGCGCGTCGATCTTGGACTGGTACTTCTTGGCGGTCTCCTCATCCCCGTCGCGCTTGGCGAGGGACACCAGCATCTGCAGCTCCACGGTTCCCAGGGGGCCCGAAGAGGCGCCTCCTCCAGCAGCTCCAGCTGGCCCATGCGCGGCAGCGCGCCCGCCAGGCTGGGGTCCAGGAAGGAGGGCGCGCCAGGTGCCAGGAGCGATGGCGCCAGGAGCTGCTGGCTGGCCACGAAGATGAGACCACACACCACGAGGGCCCTGAGGGTGGACGGGTGCTGGGGCCTGCCTCTCTGCGCCGCAGTGCTTGCAGTAGGCCGAGGGCATGGGCGTCTTGCCGCACCCGCAATGAACGCACTTCCAGCGCTCGGAGGACTCGCCGCCCTTCGCACCCGCCCACGTGGGGCTGCACCATGTGCCAAGGGGGGACGACGCCTTGCCAAATATTGTTTCCTTGGCTTTTGCCGCCGCCGCCTCCTTTGCCGCCATGGCGCCACATGAAAGAGGAAGACTGAATGTCCGTTCAAATTGGCCCGCTGACACCAGGTGCCTTTTTGAATCGAGTGCCAGCAACCTTAGTGAGCGCAAAACGGCTAGTAAGGAGGAGGGATGATGATGAGGAGCAAGAGAAGGAGGAGGAGGAGGAGGAGGAGGAGGAGGAGGAGGAGGAGGAGGAGGAGGAGCAGGAGGAGGAGGAGCAGGAGGTGTATGATGATGAGGAGGAGGAGGGTGAAAATTGGGAGGGAGAACATGTACCCTCCATATTTAGATTCTAGCTCCTAGCCAGCACGAGAGCAGCTGGAGGCGCGGGCTGTGTCCGGTTGGCACCCCCGAGTTGACTGCGGAAGACCTCGTGTGCAGCCTCGCTCGCACTGACTACGCCCCTGGGCCGGCAGCGTTACGGTTCTCTGGTCGGCTGTGTCCATTAGAGGAGGGAAATCCGAGGCGGGAGTTTATACATGACCACCTCCTGGAGGGTCAGTTTCGGAGCCTCGGCAGGCGGTGGATATGGACACATTCGGGCCCCCGGGGGCCGAAATATATACATATCCAACGCCCGTTAGGGCACCATGACGTCGGTTCCCAGGCGGTGGATATGAATAAATCCCCGCCTCGCAGAAAAGGTACCGATACCGCTAGCCTTCCCTCGTTTTCGCCTTTTGAGGCCTTCTGGGAGGCCCTCGTCGCCACAGCCGGATTCGCACCCAGGAAGAGGTCCAGGTAGTAGCGGTGTCGGTAGCTTTTGGTTTCCCCAGTATGGAGTTGGCTGTCATCGCCTTGTTCTCGACCTGGTGCCTGAAGCTCGTGGCTGCATCTTTCCCGACCGAAGCCTGGTGCCTGAAGTCTATTGGCCTGCACCACCTCGCCCACGACCTGATGCCTGAAGCTCCTCGATCGCGACCTGGCGCCTTTTGCTCTTGGCTGTGCTCACTTCGATCGTGTCATGGTACCCATTGCTCTTGGTCGCCACCTCCACGACCACGGATTGGTGCCTAGAGCTCTTGACTGTCTCCTCGATCGCAGCCTGTCACCTGCTACCCATGATCTCTGCTTCTGTGATTGCCACCTGCGCGTCCCATCCTGAGTGCGCGTCCGCCTTTGGGGCGCACGGCGCCATCACGACGCACCCAGGGGCGGGGCCAGCAGCCGCAGTGCGGGCGGGGCCCAGCAAGTGGAGACGGGGGTGCAGCAGGCGGTAGCCCCATAGGGAGCTCCACCGAAGGCCCCAGTGGGGGTGCCCGCATACGGTTCCCCCGCCCAGGGCAGCGTCTCGTGGCCCCACAGGGAGCTCCACCGTAGGCCCCAGTGGGGGTGCCCGCATGCGGTTCCCCCACCCAGGGCAGCGCTTCGTAGCCCCATAGGGAGCTCCACCGAAGGCCCCAGTGGGGGTGCCCGCATGCGGTTCCCCCACCCAGGGCAACGTTTCGTGGCCCCATAGGGAGCTCCACCGAAGGCCCCAGTGGGGGTGCCCGCATGCGGTTCCCCCACCCAGGGCAGCGTTTCGTAGCCCCATAGGGAGCTCCACCGAAGGCCCCAATGGGGGTGCCCGCATGCGGTTGCCCCACCCAGGGCAGCGCTTCGTAACCCCATGGGGGCCACCTGGCCACCTCCTGCCTCCCCTCTCCCCACCTCTTCCTCTGAGTGCCGAGAGGTTGGAGGCATGTTGAGGTGGGCCCCTTCTTCCCCCTTTTCCCTCGCAGCCCTCTCCCTCTTTTCAGAGGCGGCCATGGCCTCTTGGGGAGTGGGACGTCATCCGTTGGGCAGGGGGTGGGCTCAGTTGAAGATAGAGAGGAAGGTCGGGGAGAGAGTGCGCCCGCGTGCTCGACGCCTACGGTTCGGGTTCGGGGCGGCCAAGCTCGGCCAGCGGCGAGGCGTGGGCGAGCAGGCGGGCCCCCAGCGCGTCCAAGGCGCCGAGGTCTTGGGGTTGTTTTAGAAAATCTGTCCTCCCTTATTCCTTTGGTCTAGTTTGAGCTTGCTGGTACTAGACTTCGGTGCGAAACCTACGAAAGCGACGGGCGATGAGGAGGGGGCGCAGGAGGAGGAGGAGGAGGAGGAGGAGGAGGAGGAGGAGGAGGAGGACGACGACGATTAGGAGGAGGAGGAGGAGGAGGCGGAGGAGGAGGAGGAGGAGAGGAGGAGGAGGAGGCGGAGGAGGAGGAGGGCAGGGAATGAGGAAGAGGAGGGGCAGTTGGGCAGCGCATCAGGCGGGAAGAGTGGGGCCCTGGCAATGGCATGCCGTGGGAGACGGGTCCGCGGCCGCCTTCCTCGACGCCGACCCGCCCCATTCGCGCGGCCGCACCCCGTCCACCGCCAGGCCTGGCCTTGCAGCTGTACTCCCTCATGAGCTCCCACGGCGCGGGGCGCAAGGATCCGGCTCCCTGCTCCTCCCCTCCTCTTCCTCTTCCTCCTTCTTCTCCTCCTCCTCCTCCTCGCCCTCTCCCTCCCTCCCTCCTCTCCCTCTCTCCCCTTCTCCCTCCCTCCCCTTCTCCCTCCCTCCCTCCCTCCCTCCCTCCCCCCTCCCTCCCTCCCTCCCTCTCTCCCTCCCTCCCTCTCTCCCTCCCGCCTCCCTCCCTCCCTTCCCTCCCATCACCCCTCCTACCAAGGCGTTGGTTTGAGAGGCTGCCAGCCTCCAGGCGGACAGGTCGCCGCTGATCTGCGGCTCGCCTGCGTCGCTCGCCTGGCCCACCGCAGGCTGAGCCTGGCCCGCCCCGCGGTGCCCGGCACTCCGTGAGCTCGTGGTGCAGCGACCTGCGGCTGCGACTGCGCGTTGGGGCTCTGGCGGCCTGCCCCCCGTGGGGCGCTCTCTGCCGGCTCCTCTGGTGCGCCTTCGGCGTGCCGCCGATGCCCGGCGAGCATGCCCAAGCTCGCCCCGGCGCCCCGAAGGAAGGGGTCCAACACGAAGGCCGACAGGCTGGCTGGCTCGTGCTGGCGGCCGTGCGCACCCGTCTGTGGACCCCGAGCCCGGAGCTCCCTGGAGATTCGGAGGAGGAGTGCCTCGACGAGCCCTCCTTCTCCTCCTCCTCCTCCTCCTCCTCCTCCTCCTCCTCCTCCTCCTCGTCCTCCTCCTCCTCCTCGTCCTCCTCCTCCTCCTCCTCCTCTCCTCCTCCTCCTCCTCCTCCTCCTCCTCCTCCTCCTCCTCCTCCTCCTCCTTGAAGGTTCCGAGAGGAGTCGGGCGTTCTGCCGCGCCGAGCTCCTGGTGCAACTCCCGGAACACACCGTGGCGAGGCCCAGGCTTCCACCGCTGCTGCTGCGGGAGGCGGCGCGCGGGGCCACCGGGCCGAGCCAGGAGGCCATGGCCGCCCTGCGCCTGGCGATCGAGGGGGCGCTGCAGGACGCCCCTGCCGCCGCACTCGAGCCCGACTTCGACGGCCTGACGCGACGGACGTAGGCTCGCGTGCATGCGACCAACGGCCGCCTCGGAGAACATGATTGCGCGCGCTGCATGAGCACGCCCGTCGGCTGGGCGAGTCTCCCCCGCAGGTTTGAGAGTCTCGTCGCCAGCTCGCGCTGGTGGGCAGGGAGCCGCCGTCGCGCCCCGCCGACATCGCGCTCCAGCGCGACGTGGACCTCACGGTGCTCAAAGCCTCCTCACCGGTGGCCGATGGCCTGCAAGCGCGAGGACGCCCTCAATTCCATCGGCCTCTGGCTCCGAGCTGCCGACCTCGACGGGGTCGACGGGCGAAGCGCCTTCCAAGGCCCAGTGGCGCGATCTTCTTCCGGGGCCCCTGCGGGGTCGCAGGTTGCCGCGTGCGTCAAGGCACCGCCGCGCACAGAGACATCGACCGAGTCGGGGTCCACTTGCCCAGCGCCACGGGCGCCCAGACCCAGTTCCACATCGGCCCAGACAAGACCCCCTCCCGGTCCTGTCGGGAGGCCCGCGGGACGAAGCTGCTCCTCGCCACGTGCCACCGGGTCGCCGCCCGCAAATGTCTTGCCCTGGATCGCGAGCGCGGCCGGATCTCCATCCGAAGCCTGGACTGCGCTCATCAAGATAGCCCCACGCGTCTGCTGCCAGCCATCGCGACTGACAGTTGATCAGCTGGCCCCTGGTGATCGTGGCTGGGGCCGCTCTGCTTCCGGGGCCGCCGTCGAAGCCGTCGCGGCACCCTGCCCTGCGCCCGAGTTGGGCCGTTGATCGGGCTCAGACGAAACTTCGGCGAATTTTGTCATGTTCAAAGTTGCTTATTTTTGTTGGCCGATGCCGCTTCTGCTCGCGGGTGCGCTTGCGGTGTGGGATGCTCTTCCCGATGCCTCGGCGCATTGACCCCTTCCTCGAAGTGATGATCGCTGATCATGCTGGCGCTGTCCGCTCCCTTGGGGGCCCTCCGTCCTCCTCTTGGAATGCGGGGGCGCTGCTCGGGCGGAGGGCGCACGAAGGATTCGGAAAAGGCTCTTGCCCGCAACGCTTCGCGCGCCGTTCGAGCGGCGTCTTCCGAGCGGACTTTATCAGGTATGTCGCACCATCGTCCGCACTCTTCGGATGATTTCGGCCAAGAGCCTGGCACGTTGTCTCAGGGCGGACTCGCGAAGGCGCGCGCGACCTCTCGGGCGCCGATCCTGGGCGGTGCGCTCCGCCTCCACGCTGACTATCCTCGCGCCCAGCTTCGTCGCAACGGTATTCGCCCCAACGGACCGGTTCGACAACATGCGCGACGCGTCCCGCGGCTACCCGACCGCGATCTTCAGTGGGCCCGCCCTTCTCCGCTTGCTCGGCCGGTTGCGGCGGCAGGCGGCTTCAACGTCGCGGCCGTCTCGTCCTGGGAATCCCAGCTGCTTGCCTCCCGCGCCCCGTCTGGGCGGAACAGCGACCGCCTGCGCCGGAAGGAGTAGGCGGCGCAAGAGTACCTGGCATCGCTCGTACGTGTGCACTCCTCCCGGCGAGGACCCTCGAGGAGCACCCTGGACCATCTGGCAAGAAGCGTGCACTGCATCGACGAGTGCACGGTCGGACTGGACGTCCGAGCGGTGGCGAGAACAGGCGGCGCAGCTCGACCACGCGAGCGAGACCTCCGAGCTCCTGCTCTCGGCATCGCTCGGACGTGTGCGTTTTTTTTTTTTTGGCCGGCGAAGACCATCGAGGAACATTTTGGTCCACTTCGCGAAAAAATGCACGCACGAAATCGGAAAATACACAGGGAATGGACGTCCGAGCGATGGCAAGTGCTACGGTAACCCTTCCGCTGCAGCCAGGGGAGCGTGCGCGCCTTTGCCGTCGCGCTGGGCGGGCGCAGGCGGGTGCCCCCCCCGCCCCGCGAGGGTGGCCGACTCTGACTCTGCGACGTGCTGTTGGACTTGGCATCGCTCGGACGTGTGCTGATGGGCCTGCTTTCCACCACCACCACCACCAGAAGTTGGAGGGGGGAAGGAGGAGGAGGAGGACGAGGAGGAGGACGAGGAGGAGGAGGAGGAGGAGGAGGAGGAGGAGGAGGAGGAGGAGGAGGACCCCCTCCCCTTCCAACTTATGGTGGTGGTCGTGGAAAACAGGCCCATCATGTGCACTTTTTCCCAGCGAGGGCCATCGAGGAACATCTTGGATCAGCTTGCGAAGAATACACGCACGACATCGAAGCGTGCACGGGGAATGGATGTCCGAGCGATGGGCGAGCTGGACGCAGGGCTCTCGGACCAGGCCGCCCTTCAAGCGGACCTGGCCGAGCGGCGTCCTACAGTTGGATCAGAACAGTCAGTTCCACCAAATACTTGTCTTCGTCCCGGTTTCACCATTTGGCCGCGTCACCTGATGGAGCAGTTCGGCTTCACCGCAGCCCTGCGCCCTTGCAGGTTCGCGCTGAGCAGTCTCGACGGCCCCTGTGCACGACTCCATTCGGAGCCTGGGCCGCTGCGCCAGCTCTCCAACAAGTTCACCCTGCCTTGAGTGTGCCCTCTGCAGTCCCCTTCTCCGCGGCCGCCCCCCTCCCTGCCCGCGCATTGGTGCCGGTTGGCTTTTTGTTTTGCAGGCCCGCCTTGCTCCTTTGATCTGTGCGAGCGCCCGGTCCGCGACGAAAAATCGTCTTGGCGAAGGACCCAACCATACGCAAGTGTGAGAATCGCAGGGCAGGTGGGACGAAGCAAGAGGAATTCCCAATGGGGCCATGAACCGTGTGAGGGGTGCGCCAAAATGGGGCGGGGCCGCCATGCGAACCCTGCCACCGGGGCCTTCGGTGGAGCCCCCTATTGGGCCACGAACCGTGTGAGGGTGCGCCGCCTTGCAAACCCTGCCACTGGGGCCTTCGGTGGAGCTCCCTGTGGGGCCACGAACCGTGTGAGGGGTGCGCCAAAATGGCGCGGGGCCGCCATGCGAACCCTGCTACTGGGGCCTTCGGTGGAGCTCCCTGTGGGGCCACGAACCGTGTGAGGGGTGCGTCAAAATGGGGCGGGGCCGCCATGCGAACCCTGCCACCGGGGCCTTCGGTGGAGCGCCTTATGGAGTCATAAACCGTGTGAGGGGTGCGCCAAAATGGGGCGGGGCCGCCATGCGAACCCTGCCACTTGGGCCTTCGGTGGAGCCCCCTGTGGGGCCACGAACCGTGTGAGGGATGCGCCAAAGTGGGGCGGGGCCGCCATGCAAACCCTGCCAACCTATGGGGCCACGAACCGTATAAGGGGTGCGCCAAAATGGGGGCGAGGCCGCCATGCGAACCCTGCCACTGGGGCCTTCGGTGGAGCTCCCTATGGGGCCACGAACCGTGTGAGGGGTGCGCCAAAATGGCACGGGGCCGCCATGTGAACCCTGCCACTGGGGCCTTCGGTGGAGCTCCCCATGGGGCCACGAACCGTGTGAGGGGCGCACCAAAATGGCGCGGGGCCGCCATGCGAACCCTGCCACTGGGGCCTTCGGTGAAGCTCCCTATGGGGTCACGAAAAGCTGTGCTGGGCGGGTGAAGCGCAGGGAGGAAGGAGGAGGGGGAGGAGGGGGGAGGAAGAAGGAGGAGGAGGAGGAGGAGGAGGAGGAGGAGGCGGGAGGGAGGGACGCGGGGCGCTGTCTCTTCAAAACGAGGACCCAACACCACAGGATGGTTGGGAAAAGCGACATAAACATAACTTTTGGCGCGGACCTCCAAATGTTTATGTGTTTTTTTGTTTCCCTTGTTCGGAGGTTCGAGGCAGCCGAATACTGTTTGCCCAGCCTGAAGTATTTTCGCGCGCGGGCCGCGCAGGTCCACTGTGCCGGGCCTGGTCCGTCGCGCGCGGGGGCCCGTAAAACCACCTTGGCTTGGATCGCCCAGCGCCGCTTCTGGTGTATCCAAATCGGACTTCCGTGTGCTCACTGGGTGCCGGCCGGAGGCAACTTGCCCCCGCGCCCGGCCGACCTTGTCCTGGTCCACTTCGCTGTGCGGGTGCTCAAGCCCTGCCGGCAGCGGGGCGTGCACGTGATCTTGGAGTACCCGGCGCCGAGCCGGGTCTGGCGCTGGCCGCCCCTGGAGAAGGAGCTCCAGAACCACTGGCCCGGCAGGGTCGCCTACGACTCGTGTCGCAGGCGACCCTGCCGGTGCTTCAAGGTCAAGGCCGTGGATGCTTCGAGGGGGCGGGCATGGCGCGCGGCCCTCGCCGGGTCGTGCCTCCCAGCGTGGTGCCCGGAACTGGCGCGCATCGCCTCGCCCTCGGTGCCGCAGACCGCCCATGGACGACCCGGGCCGCAGGACCTCGCGACGCGGGAGGGTGTCCTGGCAGCCGCGGCGGGCGCGGTCCGCCTACGCGCCCCACGCAGCCCACGGTGCCTTCAGTTCTTCCGGCTGCCCTGGCGAGCCGCTTGGGCCTCCGTGCTCGACCCCCGCCCTCGACCGAGTCCGCGTCGCAGGCAGTGCGGGGTGGAGGGTTTCTCCGAAGGGCTTAGGCGACCCGTCCTCCTCCTCCTCCTCCTTCTCCTCCTCCTCCTCCTCCTCCTCCTCCTCCTCCTCCTCCTTCTCCTTCCCCTCCCACTCCCCCTCCTCCCCCTCCTCCTCCTCCTCCTCCTCCTCCTCCTCCTCCTCCTCGGGTCGCCCACGGCCCCCGGGGAAACCGTGTACCCCCGCCCTCGACCGAGCCCGCGTCGCAGGCAGGGCGGGGCGCGCCGAGGGTCGGTCCCCGGGCCGCCGGGCGGTCGCGGCGCCGGGCGCAGGCGGCGGGTTGCCGCAGCAGCGGCTCGAGCTGGTGAGCAGCGGCAGGCCCGCGCAGTGCCGCCTGGCGACTTCCTCTGCCGACGGCTTCGACTCGGCAGGAGGAGGAGGCGGAGGAGGAGGCGGAGGAGGAGGAGGAGGAGGAGGAGGAGGAGGGGGAGGGGGAGGAGGAGGAGGAGGAGGAGGGGGAGGAGGAGGAGGAGAGAGGAGAGGAGGAGGAGGAGGAGGAGAGAGGAGGAGGAGGAGGAGGAGGAGGAGGAGGAGGAGGGCTTCCCGCTGCGGCCTGCTGCCACGTGCAGGCCGCAGCGCTGCTGCCTGCGCCCCCGGGCCTCGCGGGCGCCGGCCGGCTCCAGGAGCAGGGTCGCAGGGCGGTCCTTGTCGTTGGGGAGCGCATCGGGGCCAGGGGCGCGGTGCAGTCTGCGGGGTCGGCGGGAGACCACGTGGGGAAGTGCACGCCGTGCGACGTTTTCCACCAGGCCCGCGACGGTTGCACCATGGGGGCGACTTGTCACGTCTGCCACCTCTGTGGTCCCGGCGAGAACAAGAGGCGTCGCTGCCTTCGAGGGCTGGGCCTGTGGTCAGCGGCTCGCCCTCGCAACCCCGACCGTGGCGGACACTGTTCGACGATCTTGTGCATTGGGCATCTGTTCTTTTCGGGATCTCCTCTCTCTCTATATATGTATGGCCCGCAGCCCTCTTCATGGACAAGCTCGCCTGCGGGGTTGGGCTGTGAGCAGGCCGTACTCTCAGAAGGCCAAGGGTGCCCTAGCTGGCCTGGTCGGCCAGGACGCCTCGGCACCCGCGGATGCCTGCCCCTTTGACGCGGTCGTCGCCTGTGCATAGGAAGTGTTTTGTTTGCGCTCCGCGCGGATTTCTTGGATCCGCGCGCGGGACTCCTCCTCCTCCTCCTCCTCCTCCTCCTCCTCCTCCTCCGTCCTGGTTGCCAAAGCAGCTCTGGCCATGCTGATCCAGTTCCACCTGTCCATGCGGCCCAGCGAGGCCCTCGCCATCACGGTCGGGGACGTCTACGGCGCGGTAGGGGGGCCCGCTGACCAGCGGCGCGCCTAAGACCACTGAGTACGACCGTGCGGTCGTCGCCGGCACCCTTGTGCCACGTCCTCCAGCGCACCCATGTAAATTTCTGAATCCCCAACCCGCCTCCCAGTGGCAACTGAGTTGGGAGCGGGAGGCTTTGCTATGCAGTCACAAGTGTTGTTCTTGGATCTGGGCCAGGGTCTAATCATGTGCTGCATGGCGTTGCTCAGCGTATGAAGTCGCTAGTGCACCTCGTCCTGAGAATGGACGCGTCCTCACAAATGGAGTATCATCGTCCATGTCAGGTTTTTGGGGGGGGCGGTCGCACCTAGCCATGAGTGTGTATCCTTGGATGCAGTTTTCCTCCACGTCGAGCGGCCAAAGAGGCGCAATGGGCAACCAGTCTGAATGACATATCAACTTTTTGAGTTATCATGTTTGCCAGGGCCTCCTGAAAGCAGGGGGTATTGATTAATGCGCGAGTTTGATTGGTGCCCTTTCGGGGTCCATTGGAGGAGTAAAAAGGGCACCCATGCCAAGGCCTCTTGGAAACAGGGGATCTGATCTTAATTTATGCGCGCGTTTGATCGGTGCCCTTTCGGGGTCTTCTTAAGGAGGTCAACAGGGCACCGATGCCAGAGCCGAGGCCGGCAAGTGATATGTCTCTCCCTTTCCTGCTCTGTTGCCCCGTCCTCTGAAGTGCCTCTCTGCTGCTGCCCTCGCACTTTCCGTGGCCATACCGGTCTCAAGGCTTCCCTTCCGCAACCCGCTCTGGGAGCCTTTGCTATGTAGTCAGAAGCGTTGTTCTTGGATCCTGGCTGGGGTCCAATCGTCTGCTACATGGCATTGCTCAGCGTATGAAGTCTGTAGTGCGCCTCGTTCTGAGAATGGACTTGTCCTCACAAAAAGGAGTGTCAACGTCCATGTCAGGTCTGATTGTATGGTGGTTGCGCCTAGCCACGAGGAGTATAGTTACACATCGAACCTTTGCAGACAAGCTGTTTATGGGGAAAAAGGGGGAGGACGGATAGGAAGAAGGGAGGAGGGCGCCGCCCGAAAAAAAACGGGCCACGACGTCTGTGGATGGGGTGCCTCGCGAGGGTGTCGAGCAGGAGGAACAAGGGGAGGAGGAGGAGGAGGAGGAGGAGGAGGAGGAGGAGGAGGAGGAGGAAGGAGGAGAGGAGGAGGAGGAGAAGAGAAGGACTAGGAGAAGGAGGAGGACTGGGAGGAGGAGGAGGAGGAGGAGGAAGAGGAGGAGGAGGAGGAGGAGGAGGAGGAGGAGGAGGAGGAGGAGGAGGAGGAGGAGTGATCATGAGTAACCATATCAGGGGGGTGGCCGGATTTCCGCTCCTGGGAAGCGAGGACTTCTCGGGCCTGTACGAGTTCATTGCCGAGAGTCACAAGGTCCGCCCCAGAAAAGGGAGCGGGGCTTCGTCATCAGAAGGGTCCACAGTAGAACCTCAGAGGAGGATCTGGACAGCATTGACACTCATGGTCATGAGAAGGAGGGTGTGTGTGAGCAAGAAGGACGATGTAGGGCTATTCTTGCATCAGTGGAAACTCGCGCTCGACTGAACTCCGCTTCATGTGTCGCGTGCAGCCCACGGGGCTCTTGCCCTGGCGCGCCCACATGGCTGTCTCACTCTGCTTTGTGCCCAGACTCCTTTTGCTTTTGTGCCCAGACTCCTTTGCTGGCTGAGACCCGCCTGGAACAGGCACTGCGTTCGAAGGCCCAGAGGATGATAGGGCTCACACGGGAGAGGAGTTGAATGAGCTTGGACGCACGAGACGAGCAGACTGCGGAGCTACGGTGACTTTGCAGCGGAACCCGTTGGAGGCAGAAGCAGCAGAGATACGGACAGCAGGAATAGCCTGCAATTGTGGCAGGATCACTGCCATTGTGATCAACACGTGGGGTAGTTGGAGCAGTGGTCGGTGCAGACTGTGCCCCGTGGGAGATGGGCCTGGACCGCGCCGCAGTACTTCGAAGTGTAGCTGCCGACTGCCGTCAGCATATGTACTCTGGGGCACGTGCTGGCGCCCACGTGTCGTCAAGGGCGCGAGTGCTGCTGACCCAGCTTCTATCGCTGCCTGCCGCAACGACGCGGATGCCCGCGGCTCGCGAGCATCGGTTCGACAAGTGAGAACATCCTGCGCACAGACGGGCTCCGACGCATGCGAGCACACGTCGTCGCCTGTGTGCTGTCCAGAGATCCAGCGCCCCATATACTGCACTCTGTAGGTGCTTCAGTGTGCCAGGGCGCCAACGGCAGTACGAGCCGGCAGCAGCACCACCATCAACCGCAGCAGTGACCAGATGCAGCAGGAGCAGCCCCTGCAGCGCATGCTCGAAAGCTGGCGGCATCGCCGTGCAGTGGCAGCAGCAGCGGCGGTGGCGGCGGTGGGGGCAGCATGTTGCCCAGCCCCGTCCGGGCAGGCGAGCGGCAGTGGCAAGTGATGTGGACGCACGCTGTGGCTGTCGCCTTGGCGGCCTCTCTGCTCGAGAGCACGCGGCCGGGCGAGCGCGGGGAGGGCGGGAGAGTCGGCTACAAGTAAGGGTGACCCTTCGCTGGAGCAGCCTTCGGTGCGCGGCTCTTGGGGGGCGCGGGGTGGCCAAACCTGGGCACGCAGGGTACAGCATGGGACGATCACCGAGCATTTTCTTTGGGTGGAGGGCAAAGGGTGAAATCTGAAATGCCGTCTCGATTGATGTTCGAGGCTTGAATCTGCAAAAGGTGGATCACAAGGCGGATGTATCCTCGAGGTGCAAAAGCCCAGATGGATTTCACCCTGAGCCCTCCACCCTAGCAGGCTCGCACCAAAGGTCCCTCTTGCCTGGGGTCGCTCCTTGGTCGTCTGGTTTTCGGCGGCCGTTCTCGGGATGATCTGGGCAGCCCCGGGCGACGCAGGCGAGGCGCAGCTGCTGGAGAGAGCACACGGAGGCTGGAAAGCAGCCGAGAAACGACGAAGACGGATGAAGACCTCGAACTGGGCGAGCGGTGGAGGGTTTCTCCGTAGGGCTTAGGCGACCCGTCCTCCTCCTCCACCTCCTCCTCCTCCTCCTCTCCCCTCCCTCCCTCCCTCCCTCCTCCTCCTCCTCCTGCCGCTCCTCCTCCTCCTCCTCCTCCTCCTCCTCCTCCTCCTCCTCCTCCTCCTCCTCCTCCTCCTCCTCGTCCTCCTCCTCCTCCCCTCCCCCCCTCCTCCTCCTCCTCCCTCTCCCCCTCCTCCTCCTCCTCCTCCTCCTCCTCCCCCTCCTGCTTCTCCTCCTCCTCCTCCTCCCTCCTCCCTCCCCCCTCCCTCCTCCCTCCTCCCTCCTCCCTCCTCCTCCTTCCTCCTCCCTCCTCCCTCCTCCTCCTCCTCCTCCTCCTCCTCCTCCTTCTTCTCCTCCTCCTCCCTCTCCTCCTCCTTCTCCCTTCCTTCCTTCCCCTCCTCCTCCTCCTCCTCCTCTCCTCCTCCTCCTCCTCCTCCCTCCTCCTTCTCCTCCTCCTCCTCCTCCTCCTCCTCCTCCTCCTCCTCCTCGGGTCGCTTACGGCCCCGTGCAGAGAGCGGGAAAGGAATTGAAAGAGGCAGAAATGGAGGTGGAGAAGAGGACGGCCGAGCCCAGCAGCTGAAGCCCAGGCTGGGCGCCGAGAGCAGCGGCACTCTACCCTACAAACCAACGGGGATATTCGGCTCGTGACCGTTGGCACGCTGGCGTCGGACGCCCGTTTTCGGTTCGAATTTGGGCCCCGCGGGGGGCTATGGTCAGGAACTTTGTCTTAGCGTGTCGCGCCGCCGGTTCTGCTGGCCCACCACGCTTCGACGTGACACGCTGTCCGTGTCCCCATTCCCAAACGCCCACGTCCCGAGCTTTCCCCAGCATCGCAGCGGAGGGACACTCGATCCGCTTGCAAGGCATAGCGTGTCGCCGGGGGCGCCGCCGTGGCACGCCAAGCACGAGTTCCCGACCGCAGCATCGAGCTTCGAGGCTCGAGGTCTCCGGGACACGCTCCGCCCTCGTTGGGGCTCCCTGGGCGACTCCGTGGCCCCTCGGCTGGATCCGCCTCGAGATTTTCTGGCTGGAGCGCACCCCTGCAGAGGCTCCAGAGCTCCACCCTGTCACCCCTCGGTCGCACGAGCGTGGCCGAAGCGCCAGTCGTGGAGAACGGCCTCTGGCGATGCCCGGAGCCGTTCTCCCCGACTGCCGTGTTTCGGCCACCATCGCAGGCCAGCCTGGCGACGAGGTGGCTTGTGTGTGTATTGTCGCGGTCCGCTCTCATCTCCTGCTCCTCCAGTCCAGCAAAACCTCCGCCACCCCTCCGAGCGTCGCCGAAGTCTGGGGCTCGGCCCCCCTGCGCGCACCCTGCGCGCCACTCTGCAGGCTGCCGTGGGCCTCTCTCCAGTTCCGGCAGGGCCCGGCCGGGTCGCCCGGGCTGCGGAGGCGCACGCGTTTGCAGGCACGTTTTTTCGCGGTCTGTCGGGAGGCCCTGAGGAGAGGACAGGATACCAGCATCGCTACCCTGAAGTCGGGCGTGCCCCTTGTAATGACAGGAGGATTGGTGCAAAACAGTCAAGAGTTGCACGGAGACGACGTTTCTGCTGTCTTTGACAATTTTTGAGCGCTATTTGACTGCAGGGGGACACGCCCGACCTATCGGTACGGTCAGACCGCATAGCAAGGATGGGCAACCTTCCTAAGGGTACCCTTGCATCCTTGCCTCCTCGGTCCATCCTTGGCCACTTTCGTTGGAGGCGCCCCGCTCGCAGAGCTTCGAAATGGGCCTCCAAGGACCTTGCATCCTCATCGCGCATCCTTACTATACTGGTTGACCGTACCCGCTTCCCTCGTCGCCGCGGCTGGCTTCGTCGCGCAGCCCTGGCCGCCGCGCGCCCCCAAGGAGGCCCGGGGGGTGGCCTTCCCAGGCTCCGCCTTCCGGAGGCGGGCCTCGAGTCCCCCGGCCGAGGCACCGCGAGCCCACGCGGGCGCAGCTCCGAGGAGGGGTGGGTGAGGGGGAGGGGGATGGGAGGGGGAGGAGGGAGAGGAGGGGAAGGAGGATGGCAGGGGGAGGAGGAGGAGGAGGAGGAGGAGGAAGAGGAGGAGGAGGGGGATGAGGAGGAGGAGGAGGAGGAGGAGGAGGAGGAGGAGGAGGAGGAGGAGGAGGAGGAGGAGGAGCAGAAGGAGGAGGAGGAGGAGGAGCAGAAGGAGGAGGAGGAGGAGGAGCAGAAGGAGGAGGAGGAGGAGGCGGAAGACGAGGAGAAGCGTCACAAGCCTTCGGCTGGGAGGCCCGACTCTGGAGCGCTGGGAAGAGGACCTTCTCAGCCAAGGTCGCGCAGTCTAAATCCTTAGGTGAGCCAGAGAGCTGCCCCCCGACGTCACCGTTCCCCGACGTCCCTCGAGGCCACACTCGATGTGTTCCGAGGTCCCCCCAGTGTCCATGTTGATCTGATCGATCCGATTTGATATCGATTTCGGCTGGCCCGATCCGAGTCTATATGGTCCGACGATTCGACGCAGCCAGATGCTCGCATGGTGCTGTTGTGCACGCTGATGCGGCCGCTCCGATTCGCTTCCGACTCCGCACCAATGCGTGCCGACTTAGCGCGCCTTCCGTTCCGATCATATTCTCCTATCCGATGCTGACCGATTCTGCCCCCGAAGCCCCCCAGCGCCCTCCGGAGCCCTCCCCGCCGCGGTCCGAAGCTGCTAGTGCGGAGACCACACCGTGTGAAGAGTCAGTGGGGATTCGGGGTGACTGCACGGTCTTGGGACCTGGGCCATTCTCCGAGGACGTCTCAGGCGACAGGAGCCTCCAGGGTCCCAGAACCGTGCGGTGACGGACCGTGCGGTGAGGCCTCTTGGGATCTCGAGGTTGCCGCGCGGTCCGTCACCACACCGCTTTTGGAGCTCCGAGGCCAGCCTCGTGGCTGGCACGGCAGTGCGGCCGAGACCGCCACAGGCTCACCATCCTCCTCCTCCTTCTCCTCCTCCTCCTCCTCCTCCTCCTCCTCCTCCGCCTCCGCCTCCGCCTCCTCCTCCTCCTCCTCATCCTCCCTCTCCTCCCCCTCCTCCTCCTCCTCCTCCTCCTCCTCCTCCCCCTCCTCCTCCTCCTCCTCCTCCTCCTCCTCCTCCTCCTCCTCCTCCTGCAAGGCAGGCCGGCGGCCATCGGAGCCCACGCCACGCGTCTCGTCGGGGCCTTCCTCGGGCAGGGGCGCGGGCCTCTCGCGGCGTCTGCCGGGACCGAGGGCCTTCGGCGGCCATCGGCGGCCCTCTCTGCGCACGGGCTCGGGGCCAAGATGGAGGGTTTCTCCGAAGGGCTTAGGCGACCCGTCCTCCTCCTCCTCCTCCTCCTCCTCCTCCTCCTCCTCCTCTCCCTCCTCCACCTCCTCCTCCTCCTCCTCCTCCTTCCTCCACCTCCTCCTCCTCCTCCTCCTCCTCCTCCTCCTCCTCCTCCTCCTCTCCTCCTCCTCCCTCCTCCTCCTCCTCCTCCTCCTCCTCCTCCTCCTCTTCCTCCTCGGGTCGCCTGCGGCCCCGGGGGTAACCGTGCAGGCCAAGGTGGAGGGGGCGCAGCAATGCCTGTGCCCCCTCGGGCTTGCCCGCGCGGCCAGCCTCGCGCGGGCGCGGCGGGATCGGCGGGATCGGGGGGGGTGCGGGGGGGAGGGGGCGGGGAGGATCGTGGGGAGGGGGAGGGCGAGGGGAAGGAGGAGCAGTGGAGGCCATGCGTGAAAGAGCAGCCGTGCGCGGGATCGGTGGGTGGAGGAGGAGGCGCGCCTCGGGAAGTCGGGAAGCTGTGCATAGAGGAGGCGCGGCAAGAGGGTGCGAGCCCCGAGGGGGGCCCTTCAGTCGATCAGCAACATTTGTTCGCCGAGTGTGAGAGTTCACCAACAACAGCAACACCACCCACAGCAAACTTAACAGCACCACCATCAACAAAAACAAGACAGCACCACCAACAACAACAACACCAACAGCAGCAACAGCAACAACACCAACACCAACACCAACAACAACATCACCAGCCACAACACCAACAACAGCAGCAATACCACCAACAACATCATCAACAGCAACAACAACAACAGCAACAACATCAGCAGCAACCACAACAACAGCAACAACATCAGCAAGGTTTCAAACACCGATGTGCACATCGATCCTGGCCAGGCCCCACCTCAGCCCAGGATCGGTGCATACGCCCTTGTGCCACAAACGCAGAGGAGCGTGCCCCGTTTGACTACTTGCATTGAGAAGTTGGGCTGGTGAGTTGTAGGGCCGCCCCAGACCCTGACCCGTTGACGCTGTCGCAGAGTCTTCAAGGCCGCAGAGGCCCCCAGGGGTTCCCAGTGGCCATCCGTTCACGAATTCGGACCGTGACCTTGAAAACGTTGACCGTTCAAGTTCTACATATAACAAGTGCTCTGACATATGCTAAGATATGTTTGCATACTTACACAAGCAGTTTTGATAGGTTCGCAATGGAGTCCCCCCAGCCTACAAGAGCACGCGGCGACTTGAAATGTTTTCGATTGAGCGGCAACGTGTGTGAGCCTCCGTGTCCCTGTGTCGGCACGAACGCGGGCACATAACCATTGCACGTCGAGGGGAGGAGGAGCAATGAAGGAGGGTGGGGAGGAGAGGGGAGGAAGGGGGCAGGAGGAGGAGGATGAAGACGAGGAGGAGAAGCATGAGCAATACACAAGTAGGTGCCATTCATTCCTTCCCCTTCCACCTCACGCCACTACAGTTGTGTGTTACATGGCTTTTCCTTTTTGCTGTAGCTGTTCTGGCTTAGACATCCCACGGGAATGCCCAGCGACTTGGTGGTCATTTCTTACGTCAGGGTGCCAACGAGCGGTGCTTGTGAGACCCCCAGCCGAGAATGCATCATGGCAGGGGTGTCGCCGAAAACGGAGCCTGCTAGCCAGGATCGCCTGGAGACACAAACGTTCGCAGGCACCGACGCTGGCTTTGCCGACGCGCGTTCGGCAGGAAATCTCGCGGAGGAGGCGGCGGCTGGCATGGGCGGGAGCGGCGCCATCGTGCTGCCCGACGTCCCGCCACCCGAGACTGTGAGGCCGTCGGCAACGCTATTTCCCGAAACATTGGCCAATTTCGACACTGGCGAGGCGCCCCTTGGTGCGCACCTTCGTGGTGTAGGGGTGACGCCACCGCACGCGGACGCCCGGCGTTCGTCACCGTTGCCGCCACTATCCCAGGTGATCGTCGATTCGCTGCAGAAGACGGACGCCTCGAAGAGGAAGCATGATCATATCGAGGCGGAGTGCGCCGCGACCTGGAGTCCGTGTTGCAGCAGAGCCGCGAGGGCGCGGCGAGGAAGGGCACGCGGTCGGTGATGGAGCCAGACCCGCGCGCGTGGCATTCGTGGGAGAGCGACGATTCCGACGGCCCGCCCGCGAACCCCCCCAACCGCGGCACAAGGGGGCCGCGAGGAGGAAATCACGAGGAGGAGGAGGAGGGGGATGATGATTATGATGAGGATGATGGTGAGGAGGAGGAGGAGGAGGAGGAGGAGGAGGAGGAGGAGGAGGAGGAGGAGGAGGAGGAGGAGGAGGAGGAGGAGGAGGAGGAGGAGGAGGAGGTGGAGGTGGAGGAGGAGGAGGTTTTGCTGCAAGAACGATGCCTGGCGGTCCCCGCCCCAGCTCGCCACAAGATAAAATGGGATAGGCGGGCACTCCGCCACGGGGTGCCTTCCCGCCTCCATCCCGATTCAGTCCATGAGGCCCTCCCAGAAGGCGGCGCACTCCTCCTGTACCAGGGAGCGCGGTACCGCATCCAGGGAGACCTTCACTGCGTAAGGATTTTTGCCTCGGCGCAGGAGCGAGAGGCGGTACCCTGCGGTGGGGTTCGCTGGAGCCCCTCCGCAGGCACCAAGGAGCTTGCACCCCCTCTCGCTCGAGAAAACACCGCACCGATCGCAGAAGGTGTACTGGCCCACGCGGTGCAGCTCGTGTCCAAGAGCCGCACCGCGAAGGGCGGGAGAGATGTCTCCTTCCCCGCCCCCCCGCCCCAGCTCGACACCCCAACGACGATCCACCCTCATCTTACCCTGGCAGGGCCTGCGCCCCAACGCGCGTCTGGCACGTCGCGCACCGCCACGCCCCCCTCCTCCAGAGGAGGACGTGGGCGCGAGCACCCTTGGGTGGCCCCTGCCGCCGTCGGCGGGCTCCGCGGGAGCCCGCGGCAGGCCTCCCCGTGGAACCCCCGAAATCCGCAGTCCGCCCCGTCACCCCCGCCACCAGAGTCAGCACCGCCTGGACCTCCGCCGAGCGGGTGGTCCAGGTCTGGGCCTTCCACGCGGGAACCTCCTGCATGTCGGCCCCAAGGCGGGCCTCACTGTCTGCCAATTGATTCCCTTGAAAATCGAGACGGCTCTCGTGGGAGTCGTCCTTGGGCCCACGAGCGTGGGCTTTCACATTGACGGCCTGGAAGTCGCCTTCCTGGTCGAAGCTGTCCTGGAGCAGGGCCCAGATCCTGCCCCAGAGGTCGGCGTGCGGCCTCCGAGGGCTGCATCACCAGCGGGGGCCCCTACGGAGGCCTCGAATGACCGAACTATTGTCGATCCCTACCCGCAAAGGCGGGTGAGCGCTAGCCAGCAGCTTGAGCAATCCATGCAATTCGGCACGGAGGACGGAGGCGAGACTACGCAGCCTTGGGAGGGTACCCCGCATGGCCTTGACAGCCCACCCGTCCTGGTCCAGGAAAACGTAGCCCCAGCCGAAACTCTTGAGCCCTGGAGGGCCTCTGGCCGAGCCGTCGGAGTAGGCCCAACCTGAGACCAACGGGGGATTCACAAAATCGGGATTTTCTTCCTCTCGGGCAGAAATCCAATCAGACAGCGGGTCCTCCAAGGGGTGCTCGTGAAGCCCACGGGAGAAGAGGAGGGGATCCGATGAGGAGGTTTCAGCACGATGCACGATCCCTTGGAGGCCCTCATCCTCGGCGACGGTGGCTCTCGCTGCTCCTCGGGCTGGGCAGCGGCAGAAACGATGGCGCTGGCATCCGACTTCAGCGCCACAGGCTTGACAGGACCTGTCGTCCCCGAAACCCGCACGCCAGACTTTCTCTTGGGTCCAGAAATCGCGGCCCATGTAGGCCAGGATAGCCGATCGCCTCTGCGGCGATCGGTTAGCCTTTCGCCGAAGGAGAGCCCGAATGGGCTCGAGGAAGGGACGGGTGATCCCGAGGTCCCTGGAGGCCGCCCAGGAGGTCATCACCGCGAATTCGAGACGGGACCAGATCAGCTTCTTGAGACACTGCGGGGCCGTCCTACGCAACTCCCACTGCTGCCCGAGATGGTCGGGGAAAACGTGAGGGGCAGGCCGCGTCCAAGAAAGGAGACGGAGAGTGGCCCAGACGGCTGAGGCAGGTCCTTTTACCTGTCTCCATGGGCTGCCCCCAGGCGTGGCGGCAGCGGCCGCCGCGACAGGTCTGCGCCGCCCCGCAGCCATGAGTTCCTCGTGGCTGCCAGCAAAGACGGCCTCCGCCCATTTGAGCAGTGGCTTCGCGCGGAGGAGGAGGAGGAGGAGGAGGAGGAGGGGGAGGGGGAGGAGGAGAAGGAGAATGAGGAGGAAAAGGACGGGGGGACATATGGCGGTGGTAGCAGGCGGCGAACATGGAACAGCAGGCGCAAGTTCCGCGCCGAGGTCGGCTGATTCGTCCGCGGGCCCAGACGCGACGGCGGCCCGTTCGGCATCCGCTGCGGCGTCAGCGGCGGCAGCGCCAGGCGCTAAGTTCAGTTCAGGGGGCTTGCCGAGGCGTTCGGCGCGCCCGCTCCAAGGACGGATGCGGAAATCTCTACGCGCGCGCACTGCAACCGCTAGCGCGGCACAATGTAGACCCCAATGCAGATCCCAACGCTTTGGGTTTCGCGTTGGGATTTGCAGTGCGCCGCGCCCCCCCCCCCCCCATGCCTCCCGAGGAGCCGTTCGACGTGCCCCCAAAGCAGACGCGGCCGTCGGCGGAGGCCGCCAAGCCAGACATCGAGAAGTTTCAGGAGCTCTGCCGCCGCCGCCAAGCTCCGTGCTCTTTTTTCTCGCACGTCGCATCCTTATCCTTTCATCTCATGTTCAGGTCCCCGATCGTCGCTCTTTTCCTCGACCCCCCTCCTCATCCTGCTCGTCAATCGTGCGCGGGGCCCGTGCCGCTGCGGCGCCGCTTGTCTGATCGCGCATCCTCCGCGTCCTCGTCATCATCTTCGCTGCGGCCATTTCCTACGCCTGCGGATCCTCGTTTTCTCGTCATCCACGTCCTTGCCGCGCGCCCTCGATCGGTCCAAACAGATTGTGCAGGTGCTGCGGCGTCGGCTCGATCAACCGCTTCCAGGCCCCTGCTGACCCCGTCGACCCAGCACGC